TGTTTAGGACATCTGCTGCCATTTTGATCTTGTCGGACTGACCAGCCTAACTATTGAGGCAGGGGTAAATGATTGTGTCATCAGCATAGATGCCAAGTTGAGAGTTGATGACATTGTAAAAGCCATTAATGAAAATTAGAAATAGCCTAGCACCAAGGAAGGAGACCTTGTCAGTCGATTTAATAAAACTTGTATGAAAGAGGGATTGCTGCGTCTGAGTTCCTCTCTGCCGAGGCAGAAAGTTCAACAGTTGAACATTCTATTTGACTGTTCCCCCAGGCCTTCGCTCCTACAATACACAATTATATATATATATATATATATATATATATATATATATATATATATATATATATATATAGTGGTAAATATACACATACATATGCAATATATATATATAGGTGCATACACATACATGTATATTTTTTTAATAAAAAATTCGAAGAGGATAGAATCCAGGTAGAAATCAATGTCCAGGACAGAGTAAGGATATACTAAAAACTTTAAACACTAATATTCCATGGTCATAATTTATTCCATTGGAATCGTAAATACGATCCAATTCACCTGAAATTATGACCATGGAATATTAGTGTTTAAGCCTTTTTATTATTATTATTATTATTATTATTATTATTATATATATATATATATATATATATATATATATATTCAGTTGTATGGATATTAGTTTTGTAACCCTGGGTTTCACGCTTTTGCTATTATTTGTCTGATGATCGCAACAGCGGGAAATCCAGCGTTACAAGGTAATATCCATACAACTAAATACGTTAGCTCTATCGCAGATATTGAGCACTCTCTCTCTCTCTCTCTCTCTCTCTATATATATATATATATATATATAGAGAGAGAGAGAGAGAGAGAGAGAGAGAGACAAATGAGAGAAATAACAGATGGAGTAAAAATCCACTGTTCGTAGTATTTACTTTTAAAAAAGTGTTCAAAGTAGAGCTAAGTTAAAGGGGTGAGGACATAAGGTCAGAATTAAAAACAGACTTATGCTCCACCCCTTTAACTTTCGGGAAAAAAGGTAACACTTTATTCTTTAATTTCCTTAAAAATCATTTTAATCACCTGAAGAAGTACAATCAAAGTATTGAAACATAAAAGCATTTCTGTAGCGATTTCAAAGTGTTTTATTATAATGTCTTCTGATAAAATTATTATATATATATATATATATATATATATATATATATATATATTTATTCGGAAATTATAACATAAATATGTTATAATATCACTACAAAAATAGCCATTTTGTTTCAACACTCCCAGTGTCTTATCAAGTGATGGTGATCAATACATTCAACACAATCACTTGATAAGTGATATATATATATATATATATATATATATATATATATATATATATATATATATATATATATATATCAGTGGGTGGAAATATAAGTTAAACGGAAGTTACTTATAACTCAGCCTAACACTTAATCTACTTGTATCCCTAATTAGATGTTACTTATTCACTTATTATATGATTAAATACTTAATCCATTGCCGTACTAGACGACATTTACTTTTTTTCTCTGTCATGATTTTAATATAATTATTTCAACATGTTTGTTATGGGCTTTCTGCAAACAGGGATCCGATTTTTTTTATTCGGTATTGTATTTCTATTATTATTATTATTGTTTGATATTTTTTGTGGAATCTTTTCGTCGTTCTTAATTGGAATAATTCGTGCAGAAAAACGTATTAGAAGTATCTATGTTGTGATAAAACCGCTGTTGGCACCGTACAAAGGTGGAAGCCACCCAGAGAATTCGGCCACCTGTTTAAACGATTTGCGTTCCTGGTTCACTGAGGTCGAACACACGCTAATAACTAAATAAATAAACCCGAGTTGATAACAAAGAGACGTCGGCATTATTTTTGTAATCCTGAACGGAGACAGATAAACCGAGCAAATATGAAAAACCCCCAAAATACAAAAATGGCTGATAACAACGAATAGGAGACAGTTGGCAAGAGGAGATAATCTTATTGGAGTAATATTCCTTGGTTCTTAAAGAAAGAAGAAATAAAAAGAATTTACAGATTAGGGATTTTTTTTATCGGGAGCTGGGCGTAACAGTCAACTTGCATATCTCTTTAATGTTGTTATGCATACAAATATATAGCGGATACAACAGGAGATTATTATTATTATTATTACCATCATCATTATTATTAATATTAAAATCATCATCATCATCATCATCATCATCCTTATTAACATTATTATATTTTTTTCCTTTGATTTCTGGTGTGTACACATTTCTTTCCGGGTCCCGCCCAGAGACCTAAGGTTAGAAATAGCATCATGATATTTTCCACTGAGAAAAAAAGATAAATATATATATATATATTTTACAGAGATAAAGCCCTTCGTAAGGTGTTGGCTATACTCGTGAGAAGAATTTTTTGTATTTCTTTAAGGCATGGACTTCCAGGAATCCCTTCAATTAGTCTACTGGAATCATTTCCAACCAATCCGAGGGCCTCAACTACCACAGGGATTGTTGATGTTCCCATGTGCCACATTTTTGAGATTTCATTTTCAAGGTCCTTGTATTTTTATAGCTTTTTGAAGATCTTCAATGACACATTGCAGTCTGCTGGGACTGCCATGTCAATAAGAAGTTACAAACAAACAAGAAAGATCATACACATTTTACATAGATGAAGTTCTTCGTAACGTTTGAGCTGTATCAAACTTACAGCAACCGCCGTCTGTCAAACTCTCTGCATTAGCAGAGAGGAACCCGGGCGAAGCTTTGCCGAAGGGCAAGGTTTCGTTCGGGGAGGTTATGACAGCTCTCGAACTCACCTAGGCGAGTCGAAAGCTATATTTTTGGCCGGGCCTACGGGCTCGGGTGACCACGTAAAACTCGGCCTTGTGCCACATGCGACCCCACGTGGGGGTGCGGACAGTTAAATATAACTGTACTTGTGAGCACAAATTTTTGTTTAATTTAAGGCTTGTGCTAGCAGGAATCCCTTCAGTTAGTCTACTGGAATTCTTTTGCTGTCATTCTGAAGGCTCCAACCACAATGTGCCACAATTTTTAGGATTCCTCTTCTTTGTATTTTCATAGGTTTTTTTTCTTAAGATCTTCAAGGATTATATTACAATCTGCAGGGACTTCCATGTCAATAAGACAGCACATTTTTTCAATTCAGTCAAAAAAAAAAAACAAAAAACAAAAAAAAACAAATTGAAATTCAGTGTAATACGATCTGTATATAAAACGGCCACTTAAATAAACAAATAAATAAATAGATAATCAGATGGACAATAATAAAAGACAATCCTCCAGACACATAACGATTGTAGGTGCGCCATAAAAATATCCCTCACTGGGAACCAGCAAAGGGTGACCGCAAACATTAGCCTTGAAAATAGATACCCTACCCAACCTTAGCAAAACCTTTGAGAAGATGATGAATCTATTGATAAGAATTAACTCTCTGACCACTTAACGAAGGAAAATAGTCTAGCCACTCCCACAATAACGAATTTTGTAACGGACCTTGCCTAAAAATACACGTAAACCGAGAGATAGCTTATTCCTAAAATTTCGCTTGAAGATGAAACGGGACTAAACACCTCAATTCAACTAAATTTTAATAATTATTTGGATAATTTCGGCTCTCGTTTTTGAAACATGAGAACTCTTATGTAGCGACGGAATCATATTTTTAAACAAAAAAATATTATTATAATATAAGCTCTACTTCTGTATGGAGCACTGACTTCTTAAAAAAAAAAAAAAAAATACTAAGGAACTCCGGATTATGCACCCAACGTGTTCTATTCTATTTTCTGCATACCTACGCACTTATATATATATATATATATATATATATATATATATATATATATATATATATATATATATATTGTATATTAAAACAAATAAGAGCATTATAAAAACAGAGTACGGTTAAAAATATGCATAAACCGCCAATATAAGAAACAAAAAATTTGAACCACCTGAACATTGAGACAGTTATGTAAAAATGTGGTAGTCCACAAACTGGGACCCTGAGGAAAGGCAGGAATATCTGAGTATCGTATTATATATATATATATATATATATATATATATATATATATATATATATATATATATATAGAGAGAGAGAGAGAGAGAGAGAGAGAGAGAGAGAGAATAGAAAAACAGTATACACCAGTGAGCAGATAATGACGACAACCTGCATCATGAACGTCATTGGCATATTAAGAAGAATGTCAATAAGTAAGCAGTCCTCCTACCATTTGATTATGGCCCAGAAAATTGCGCTTCGTCTCTGCCGAAGGCTGAACGAAGGTTTATTATGGGTTTTATAAAAAGGATATGATGACTGCACGCAGGCACTTTGGAAGAAGTGAATATCGCCTTTCGTCATTAGATGCCCCTCACTCTGAATTGATGTTCCTAGTTTTCAGATATCGATTTAAAATTCCTAAAATTCCATTCGGGAACTTACCAGTTTCACGCCATCTTTTATGGAATCATATCACCCCAAGCCAGACAATAAAGCCACTAAAATGCAAAGGTTTGCTGAGTGGGAAAATATGAAGAAAATAACAATCTTATTGAGAGTAAAGAACACTAAAAGACATGAGTTAAGAAGATAGATTATAATGATTGACACTGCATTTAAATCCTTGAAGACCAAATTTAACTGGAAAGCAGGAAGTTTCGCAATCGAGAAGTGCGAAAGAAGAAACTCTTAGCATAGAACTTACGGTTGCATCTCACTATTTCAACTGTAAAATGATGAAACGTATCTTCCAGTCTAATACTAGAGATAATTCATAAAGTCGAGGTACTAAAGAAGAAAGCTCATCAAAACTATTACCATGAAATTTATTTATAGAGAAGGCTCAGTGAACTTATATGCCAACATTGGGAAAATGACTGATGACAAGGTACCAGGTCAGGATCAATAACATTGTAGATTCCTCTATGGATTTAATCTATCTATCTATCTATCTATCTATCTATCTATCTATCTATCTATCTATCTATCTATCTATCAGAGTTTGTTTTTAGTTATTGTTCTCAGATTGTTTAATGGATAACTGATCGAAATGAGAATTCAAAGATCCGATTTCGAATTACATCCAAGTTCGTTACATTCACCTGCGCGTAAATACTATTGAAAAAGCCACGAATCCATCGTCTCCACTCAGATATGGATTAAATAGTAGTATTTGTATCTGAAAAAAATATTGTTATTCTAAGAAAATTGTTAATGCAATATTCACTCAAAAAATAAAATAAAAGATTATTTATATAATCCAAAATACGTTTCGGCTTTAAATAGTCTATAAAGAGTTGATAAACCGTAAAAAATAAATCGATAAATTATATATATCAAGCTGGTTTTTTCTATCTATCTATCTATCTATCTATCTCAGTACGCCCTTTCTGGGTATTTCTTTTTCATTTTTTCCTTACATAAATGCCAAATCGTAAGAATTTTTTCTCAACCTTTTCACCGCTCGTGGAATCTTTGAAATAATTTTTTATGTCTCAGGGAACCCCTGCATAAAAATTATTATGCACCATTATTAATATCTGTCCCGTTTATATTTTTATTTTTTATGCTTGCCTCCTGAACTCGAGTGAGCCACCGAATAATACACGAAGCCAACACGTACAGGTCCAGTCCCATTAACTAGTGAAGGCAGTCTCACACTGACGCCATACAGACATCGCTAGATACTGTGAATTCATATAATTTTAAATATACTATAAGACGTACATGTATTGTAAAATTACGAATAGAAAATGAAACAAAAATTTCTCCAAAATGCATTAACCTATTTATCATTGTTTCTTGTGGAACCCTTGTCGACCTCTAACGAAACCTTAGAGTTTCTGGGGCACATCGTTTGAAAAACATTGGTCTAGAAAAACAAAAAGTTATTCTGTGTATCGACTCGGAGATATGAATGAACTGTTATAAGCAAAAAAAAAAAAAAAAAGAAGAAAAATGAATGCCTGCTATAAGCGGTTTCGCGGGTTCAATCCCAAACGGGTGCTCTGCTAATATGATTCTTTGCCAGACGAAATATAAGATGAAGAATTGAGAAAAAGAAGAATCAATTGATCGATAATTGTATACAGATAGAGATATCGATTAAAATGATTGGTAAACAGACTCAGTAAGCAGGAGCGATTAAATAGAAAAGTTATTACAAACTGATTTATAAAATAAATTAAATATTAAATTAAGCCTTGAAAGCCACTCAAATTTTACAAAATAAAAATCTAATCATTATAAATGAAAATAGTATGCGTGTGGGTCGGGGACAAAAAATGTATTTGGATCTTTTATGTCCTAACTTTGGCTGAGTCTAGAACAACGTTTCTCAACCTCAAACCGTGCAGAAAAATTATTAGACACCATTATTAATATCTATTCCTTTTATATATTTTATCGTAGGTCACGTGGTAAACATAATGGACATCATACATGCGTCCTGTACTCGGGAGAGTCACTCAATGATACACTATTATTAGTACAAATATTTCTTTGTACCTTTTAATTAGTTTTCTAAAATTTAGGAAAATTAAAAGTGGCTAATTGCGATAGCCGATAGTGGAATGTTTTCTTCTTCATGGTTTGGAATTCACAGATTTTTATTTGATTTATTCATTTTTTACGGATTATCAACCCTTTGCACGTTATTTAAACTCACAAAATGTTTTTAGATCGTAAGAAATATATGTTTGGGGAAATAATAATGTGTTCAGTGATACAAATTAACCCATAGCTGGGGAAGAAGAGGTGGATTTATACCCTTTTTCAAGAGTATTTGCGCGTAAATGAACATAAAGAACCCCACTGGAATTGGAACTCGGCTCTCCGATTAACAATACCAAGTCATTATCCATTACACCACCCGCGCATCCAAGTTTACAACACCTAGTATTCCCAAGCGGTCACCCATCAAGGTACAGACTAGACTCAATGTTGCTTAACTTCGGTGTTCGTACAGGAACTGGTGTTTAACATGTGTCCGTAAGCCTAATTCAATGATTATTTCTCCTCGGTTGCAGCTAAAGGGCCTAGTCTACTCACGATGAATGTCCATGCTGTAAGCAAAGCTAAATCTTATAACATACAATCTCATGCAATGTCTCACTACTGACTTAATACGAGAGAGCATGTCTTGAATACATATTGTGAGAAAAGAGCACTTGGGTTGGTATGGTTTCGTTTGTTTTGTTTTACGGTATATCAACCTCAATGGGTTATTTAATGCCGACAAGATTTTTGCTGCTGGTAATATTTTTAAAAAAAAAATGAAATGCTTGTAATAATGTGTTGCTGGTAATCATTTTTTCTTAAAAAAATTATTGCTGGTGTTAAAACCTATTTTACACTTTCATAGTGTTTTGACCCCATTTTTGGGGATTAACTATTTGCCCATAGTTGGGACTCTAACAGGTGCAACCACCCCGGGTCAGGGTGGACCTGGAACACCAGCAATTAAGAGGTGGTTCCACGCTCCTCAAAACCTCCTGATCAGAGGCCTTACTGTTGGACATAGTTTATCGTTTTACCCAGCACGCGGATGTAGTTTATCGTCTTACCAAGGACGTCTCATTTTTGGGGGGCTGGGGAAGGTTCTTGCCCCTCTGCAGAGGTGCATTCGGCGTATTCTAAAGCCCCAGCCAACAGGCACGAAGACTTGTGGAATTTGACACACACAAGATATACTGGAAACAAGAGAACAGTGAAAAACAATGAGTAGCCTACCTTACGAGCTTATGTAAATGGATTAGAGAAGAGGGAGTGAAAGAGATAAGAGCTACTATGAATAGGAAGTATTGGAGAGCTATGATCGCCTACATAGTGAAGAGATACGAAAAGAAGATGCATTTATACTTGTACAGTAATGCATCTTCTGATCACGGGATATTCAAAATGACGATATTCTGTACGGCCAAACATCTCACATCTCTAAATTGGCGCGCGCACACAAAATATCAATATGGCGTTTGAATGTTTATTCGCGTAAGCACGTAATAATGTTGGCAGAACTTAATGGGAGTGATTCCCACATTCCAGGCATTAATATATCCGTGGTATAGTAACACGCTAATACAAAGACGGATCGGAATAACTGAAAGAAAGAAATGACAAACATGCATTATCCTCCAAGAGATTTTTCTATACAGCTATGTCATACAAGAAATTATATAAAAAATATATAAATACTTGTCACTAATTTTCCCCACACAGATAATTTGTAACATATGACTAAAACTAGCCGGGTAGAAAGGCAAGAAGTGCGAGGGTCTTACTTACTGTGATATTTCCCAAAGGTAAAAACGACCAGACCAATGCTGTTCTACGAACTTCGAGGTAACATATGGTTTCTTCTGTTCTCCCTGCCGCTGTGTGTTTGAGATGACGTCTAGCGCCTTAGCGTCCTATCGTCAGCAACTGGCGTGGGCAGACATGTCTTGCTTCTACGCGTGCTAGCAACTCAGGTTCTGTCACCTCACGAACCAACCGTTTCATACTCGCCGTCATGTGATCCACGTAACTTCGTCTTAATCAAATCGCCCTTCGTATCCCTAGATATATTTCTGCAACTAAGCCCCAATATTAAAAGTACGAAGGAATAGCTGAATGGAAGAAAAAAAACATAGAGTAGTCCGCGGCAAGTATTACAGAGAGACGGATGGGGGAAGGTAATTTTCGACCAATCAGAATGTCGCTTTTGGAGAACCTTCCGCAGTTGATGATCCTCGCAGTAGAATCATATTCATAGAGCAGAGGCAGATGACACAAATTGTATTTATAAAACCCAGGTGTCGGGAGCCTCGCTATTTGACTAGCATTAAAGAACATGTTTAGCAGACCGTTATTTTATGTCCCCTCGAGGATACCTCGTGCTTCGAGAGGATATTTGGGCCTCAGACTCACACCTGACCTATATACACGCCCCCTCTTTGCAGGTAAAATGATCAGCTCTGTGTACCGCTCCAGTAAGTACTTGACTCCTCATGCTATCCTCTACCTTTATAAGAGCCAGATTAGGTTGGAAATGGAGTACAGTTGCCATACTTGGGCAGGATCTCACTTTTCTGAGTACAAAAGCGTCTCCGAGTGCTTGTAAAAGAAGAATTATTTTTCACCCTCCAACCTCTCTCTCACAGGCGGTATGTGGCGAGTCTCTCATTCCCCTATCGCCACTACCATAGAAAGTGCTCGGTCGAAATACATTCCTTGGTTCCACCAGGTCTAACCTTTCCGGCTAGGACCCACCATGCTACTTGCAGTCCGTATTCCATCGGCCAGAAGTCAGTTCCACTCGATCAATTTCTTGCCGCGAACCACTGACCTGTGGAACAGACTCCCAAGAGGATATTTTCCCGATCACTTCAATTTTAACCTGTTTAAATCTAGATTCAATCGTTATCTTCCCCTCCTATCATTATAAACGACCCCTTAACGTAACCCTCTACCTCGAGTGCCCCCGGGCCTTGTATAGTGTGAACCTTACTGTAAAAAAAAAAACTATGCTAAACATAGACACAACCATAAACCATTTTATGTTCATCCGTGAGGACATGTATCTCGGTATAGCTGATCATTTGTAGTGGGGGATGGGAGAGAACAACAGAATGAAATAAAATAACATAATAATTTATGGGTGTGCTTACCTTGAAAATTCCTCAATTGAAATCCTGGCTTTTAATTTGAATACTGGTTAATGGCGTCACGCATAAACCGTGTTAACATTTCTGCTGCTGTGAACTTAGACATACGTTTTTACGAAATTTACATTGCCTGCTGTTGACGTATATATACGTTTTTAAATACACCGTTAAATGTCAGTTCCTAATGTTTGTGTTATTAAATAATTAGCGCTTAGTGCTTCTTCTAGACCCCAGTGTCGATTTATATTAGTAAACAACATAACATGTTTTGTAAAGTAGTTTTTATTATTGTTGTTTTAGGGGGTGTCATTTAATACAGTTTAACTGCAGAGCACCGGACCCAAAGCAAAATGGTGGCGTTTATGAGAAATCGCCGTCAGCGTTTTTATAGCAGTTTATTTACAGTAATTGGCAACGTTGTGTTTTCCCTAAAATGGGCCAGTACAGCCAGGAAGCAACGCTATAACAGAGCAACTGTGATGTGTTAATTAAGGCGAAAAGCAGGAAAATAGAGCTAAGAAGATTTATTGCGTAATTGGGAGGAGAGCTTTTATGCCTTGAAAGTCACCATTTGTTTAAGGATGTGAAGGCATTGCTTAGAGAAATTCTGTTTATGCTCCCATTTTTTTTTTGCATGTCTGTCCCTGGATGAAAAATACAAGAACGTAAAATATCAGCTTAAGGAAATTTCATTCGTTTATGTATAGCGGGAATTCAAAATGAAGGCCTTTTTTTTCGGTTTGCCTCGTTTTCGGGAATTCATTCACTGCCAGGCGTCTGCTCTTTCAAACAAATCGTTGTTGAGGTACTTTGCAAACGAGGCGGGGTAAAAAACAAGCGTAGAGTATGTCAGCTGAAAAAATAAAATCGATATTTCGCGTTCAGATGTTTTATCGTCAACTACGATAGATGGAAAACGTGTTCCACGTTTTGTGGCAGGTTGCGTTCGCCAGTTATCTTTAGAGAAATATTTTTCTAAGCAACCACAGGATTAGATCGAGATTTTTTTTCCAACGACATACGCTGTTTTATTCACGTAGGAAACACAGACGCTGGTTGTAAACATATTGTAAAGCCATACAAGTTATCTAGAGAATATACGGAAATAAACAGTAATTGACTAACCTAGTCAAGTACGATACTAGTATGATAGAATAAGTCAGTATTACTAACTAATTAGTGTGCCGCACGATCCTTTTTAAGTGAACCCTGAAATATTGTCACGGTATATATATATATATATATATATATATATATATATATATATATATATATATATATATATAAAAAATGGCTTAAACACTAATATTCCATGGTCATAATTTATTCCATTGGAATCGTAAATACGATCCAATTCATCAGACCTACAAATTCAAACGTCTTGGAATTTTTTTTTATACAAAAATATATATGTATGTGTATGCATGTATGTATATTTATATATTTTGCGTATGTATGTGTATATTTACCACTAGTATTATCTATCTATCTCTCTCTCTCTCTCTCTATATATATATATATATATATATATATATATATATATATTGTGTATTTATGCAGCATTTTTTCATTCATACATGTTTCATTAAATAATATAAACAAGTGTTGTCTATTTATTTTATGTAAATTCTTTTCATAACGTCTGATAAGTTTAATAACATTATCATTGAACGAATAAAGAAACAGACTATCATCACATTCTTGTCCGTGTATTGCTTAATATATTGTACAGTAATTGATAATTGTTTATGTAAGCCGAAAGCTTAGATTGGATTAAAAAATATGTATCAATATTGGGATTTTCTTTCTCTTCGTTGTTTAAAACTGCAAGGAAGCAGTTTCAAGCATCAAGTCAGTGTTACACTAAATCCGACGCAAAAAATCGTTTTTTTTTTTTTTTTTTTTTGCATCTAGCAATTCCCACAGTAAAATTACAAGACCTAACTACCAGAAGTTAATGATTGTTTTTGGTTTTTTTTTTTGAAGGTCAAAGTTGACGGGAAAGCAAGAAGCGAGAAGTGGGAGAGAAAAAAAATGAGCGTAGAACTTAGAGTTATATCGAGCCATTTCAATGATGAGACCTTACCGCCAATCTAGTACTGCGTTTAAATTGGCTACCTTGAAAATCAGCATGCGAAATATATATATATATATATATATATATATATATATATATATATATATATATTAATCTATATTCGAACATTAATCATGAGTATCGATTTATTTAGTTGAGATACAACTATCTTATTTACGATTGATTATTTTTTGCGGCTTTTCAACCTTTTGCAGGTTATTTAAAACCGAAACATATTTTTAGATTTTTAGAATAATTCCTTCTTTTTTTTAAGTGAATATAGTATTGAGAACTTTTTGGGGAGATAATAATGATTTTCAGATACAAATTGGGGAGATACAAGCAGGAGAGAAGAGGTCGATTGTGACATTTCCCAAGAGCCTTTACGCGTAAGTGAATGTAAGAAACCTAACGGTACATCGAACTCGGCTCACCGATTTCTCATTCCTAGCCGTTATCCATTACGCCACCCGCACATCCACCTGGTATTCGCCAGAGTTCACCCATCTAGTTATTGACCAGGCTCGGCGATGCTCAACTTTGGTGATCGTACGACAACCGGTGTATTCAACGTGATATAGCTGTAAGTCCTCAGTCACGATGTGGTGGTTCAACAATGACAGACTTATATCAAATTTTGCTGTTATGTTTTTGCGGGTAGCTTAATGGTTATAGGCACTGAAAATCTGAATCAAATTCCGACCGAAACGCAATAATAACAACCTCTTCTCAACAACAACTGCCTAAGAGTTAAATAGTAGTGTAGACTGTGTTCTCTAGCCATGAGTGGTAGTGAGTCTAGGAGAAGGACAACTCTGAATTCCAAACCGTGGAGACGACAACGAGAAACCATACCACTATCTCTCCCACCCTCCATGGTATCCAACGGATAATAATTAAAAGGAATTTGTGGAAACTGTTTATGCCTCTTCTCTCTCTGTGAGGGACACTTGTCGTGTAATAATGCATAGGAAAAAAACTCAAGCAGGCCGTTAGCTATTTTTAGTGAGTTCGATTCTTACTTGTCTTTGGACTCGATTATAGAGATTTCCCAAGCGTAGCTTAGATGTGGCATAAGGCCGAAAGAATGGGGCACCCAGTGAGGATCGAACTCAGTACACAGTCGTAATTGTTCTAGCGCGACAAGCTTGCTACCAATTGCACCTCCTCAAGGTTCCCCTTTAGACACGATTATATAAGAAACAATATCCTCATTCAGCAACACTCTATCTTGGGTCTTGTGGCTCTTGGGTCTTGTATTGGGTGATAAAAAGTAAATTACGTAACAGGGAGCGTCGAAAAGTTCTTGTCCCGACAAATAAGAGTTTTTAAAAAGATTCTGATATTTGGTGATTTAATCAGTGATATATATATATATATATATATATATATATATATATATATATATATATATATATGTGTGTGTGTGTGTGTGTGTGTGTGTTAGTCGTCTATAAAAAATAAGCAAACTGTTTGTAGACACGGTGAACTAATGGATAGCGACTCGAATTTAGAAATCGGAAAATTGAGTTTGTGACATTTACTTACCTTGTGAAAGGTATGAAACTATCTCTGGTCCCCCATCTACGGGTTAAATACCAATATAAACTGGGTGGCAAGCAGTGTAGGCGAATGACAACTCTGCATTCAAAACCTGAGGAGGGCCGCTTGGGGACCATGTCGCATACTATGTATGCCAGTTCCCTGTTTCCCGCTTTTCCAAATAATGTGGTTGTTTCTGCACAAGATTATGCCACTTTATTCAAATCATATGTCAGTCGTCTGACTGTTCGATTCTAAGAACTGATTTTCTGTACCCACATACGTCGTATATATATGGATAGATAGATAGATAGAATGAATGAACTGACTGCGATAGATATATACATAGATACGTAATAATCATACCCTTTGATGTTATTCAAAGTAGCAAATTGAAATCTGGTGTGATAAAGGACGACTTATCTTGGAATTATTATGGCTACGATGCATATTCTTAACACAAAATATGTCGCTTCATTTCATTTCCAGACGCAATATTATTGGAAATATCGATTCTTAGAATCAATCGATGTTCAATAAAGAAGACCCAAGTGCTCAGTCGGTATCTTCGCTGCATCACGTTCCACCATTCACTCGTTCTTTATCGCTCTCTCGAAAATAAGATAAGAAAAGCCATTGCGATTTGGTCTCGCTTAAAAGCCGTTCATGGAAAGCCGACATTTGAGATTAGTTTTTTCTTTCGTCAGTAAGAATAAAATCTGCCATTTGCAAAATGGCGTGGTTTTGTTTTTCTTTTTTTAACTGTTACAAAAATATATGACAGACATTTTTCAGTAAATAATAACGGCGAAGGGAATGAGACATCTTCTCTTGATGAAGAGGAAGTTAGACAAACGTATATGTGGATACAGTGATATCCCGGATTATGTCGTTTCGAGTTACGTCGGTTTTTCTTAAATATTACATGGAAAAATAAAAATCACCTGATGTCGTTTTACTCGGGTTTACGTCGGCCGTTAAAAATGTTAGAAACAATAAAATAATGATAAACACATATAAAATAAATTTAAAAGTATATATATGTATATATATATATATATATATATCATCAAAGAAAAAAAATTAGCATAATAAAGTATGTTCAGATGTTTTTATTTCAGATTCCTGCCGACAGACGGCACTCGTGAATTGTTTTCCGCTTCTACACCGATTTCGAATTCAGATTTGTTTACATCTTTGCTCTGCCGTTGATGTTCTTTCAGTTACAGTTCATTTGTGATTTAGAATACATTTTGGCCCATGGCTCCAGAGAAAAGTCCCATTGCAAGCGTAAGGCTATATCATTGGAAGATAAGGTGGAAATTAATTATTTTATTCAGAATACTGTACCTACATATCCTAAATACTGTAGTAGACAATGGAGAGAGCTTATATGCGGTTTATAGTGTGGTCATCATCGACTTAAGTCGTTTTTCGACCTAAGTTGTGACTTCTGGGACCAATTAACGACGTAGGGTGAGGTATATCTATATATTTATCAGATTTCGTAAGGCACGATGCCAAATATGAAACATTAAAATAAGATCGTAGTGTATCCGTAAATGAAAATCAGTATTCAAAATTCTCAAGCTTGAACACCGACCACTGGTCCGACATTCCATTTCATCCAGAATATATATATATATATATATATATATATATATATATGTGTGTGTGTGTGTGTGTGTGTGTGTGTGTGTGTGTATATATATATTACAATGAAACATTCATACGAAAAGTAAAAAAGTAAATTAGTAAAGTCAATGACATAAAATGGTGAAATCTTTTTTTTAAATTGTAAACTGTATTAGGTCTTCCTTGAATATGTAAGTACTTTCAACGGTACCATCAGGCATGGAAATTATTTCGTTTTGGGTAAAATTCATGTATCATGCGAGACGGAAAAGTATAATGCGAATTGAAATATGTCTTTTTGTTTTTTTTTAAATGTGTTATTGATAACGGATACAAACTTGCGGAGCGTGCAGTCGCAACGCTAAGGTTGATTTTTTTTTAGGGAAATTTAAGTGTGTGCGTTTTTTACTAATATGGCAATTTTTTGTTGTAGGAGTTTATCAGTTAACGTGGCATGAAGTAAATCATACTAATTATAAAACCCAGGTTGTGTGTGTGTGTCTGTACGTTTATATATTGGATCAGATTTCCTACATTTTTCAACCGATTTCAACAAAAGTTCACAGGACTACGTAAAATTACCATTACAGCGCCAAAAATTGGAAAAACACATTTTTTTTGCACGAAATCAATTTGAAAACACGATTAAGAGGCATCGCGAGAATGAAAGGGGGACAACTCATATCGAGTTATACTTATTATAAAACCCAGGTTGTTTGTGTGTGTGTGTTCGTTTATATATGGGATCGGATTTCCTACATTTTTCAACAGATTTCAACAAAACTGCACTTTTTTTTGTCATGTAGTGTTTCTTATTGTCTTGCACAGTTTTTTCTTTATTTTTACATTCAGAATGCTTTAAAAATTCCATTTACAAGACAATTGTTTATAATAAAATTCTATTAAACAATGTTTTTGTTTGAGTTTGGGTTTGACCAATTCGTAACCCCCCCACCCAAAGAAACTAATTAAGACATGCGTGTCCGTCAACCTTAAACAATAATCTTTGTCAATTTTATTTTTCAGTCTTTATGATGGTCGATACTTGATCTATCTCTTACTGTTACATCAGCCGGGCTCTACTGCTAGTATTTCAATAAATAGAGTAATGTCTCAGTTTTTATCCCGAAAATTTTCACGTCGGATCAATTCTTTTAAATCAAATATCTGGTGCAATTCAATTTATATTACAATTGGCATATATATATATATATATATATATATATATATATATATATATATGAATGTAGAAACACATTTGCAGTAGAATCTTAAAGGATAAAATTATATCTGGAAAAAAAAAGGCAGAGGATCGATAATGCTGCACCGAAATCTGAACGTACATCGGATTAGCGAAAGATGCACTCTAAAAACAATACAATTTTATTTTTAATCATTTCACCCCAAGAAAAGCATTAATGTTACTAAGATGCAAGGAGTTAATAGGAGTTTCAGGGAATGAGAAGACTTTACTCGTAAGCAAGTATTGTAAAAGAACAGAATTCAGGACGGCAGAAGATAACGATTGGCATTGCATTTACATTTTCTTAAATAGTATTTGGCACAGAAGCCGGAAGAGAGTTCCACAGGTGATTATTGCGAGAAAAGAAACCATTTGAACAAAACTTCCGGTTACATCTAGCTATTTCAACAATAAAACGGTGGGACCTAGTTACCAATCCACTAGTATGATTAAGTGCGTGAATTTAAATTTATGCGCTTAATCTAACAAAGAGAAGAGCTCATCAGAACAACTGCTATGAAAATATTTATAGAGAAGACAGAGGCAAGTCACGTCATGTCATCGGGAAGGTGACTGAAGCCGAGATGCCAGGTCAAGATAGATAACATTACAGATAAAAATTTAGAAAAGTTCGTTAGATACAAATAAAAAAAAAGAGTGCTGAACGGTTATGTGATATCAAGCCTCTTGTATTGCAGTGAGGGCTGGACAGCCTCATCACAGATAAAGAAGAAACTGGAAGCAACAGAAATGTGACTCTACAGAAGCCTACTGAGAATTGCAAAGTCAGAACGAGTAAGCAATGATGAAATCTTAAAGAAAATGGTAACAAATCGATCA